ATCAAGCCTAGCCAAAGTGCCCGATAAGATTGACAATTTTTCACCAGCATCATTACCTACGACTCTAATTTCTAATCCTACTTTTGCTCTTTCCGGACTTAGAGGTATTTGAACAAGATCCATAAATTTTACTTTTTTAGGATCAAATTTAAGGAAACCGAAATCATGAATTGGATCGCGGTATATAGGTTTTAATTCTACTTCTTCATAATTAGTAAAAACAGCCTGAGCTACGATAGGGGCTGGTGAAACTACATGACGGTTTGAGAGGATCAGACCTCTTTCAGCGTCAACGATAAAACCTGTAGCTGAATAATCGCCTATTTATATTTCCATGATTAAACCATTTATTTATCAATATATGTCACACAATAATTTTAATCCCAGACCAAAATGAATCCGACAATTTATAGTTTCTTTTATTACACGTTATGAAACGTGTTAATTTATAATAAATGTTTATATGCCAGATATTGGAACTACCACGTGTCGTTAAGAATTTGATCGTGAAAAGATAATGATTTAAATACCTACCTGAAGTCTCAGTATCAAAACTTCTTACGTGGTTGGCTTTGATCGAAATAATTGCTTTAATAGCTTTTTCTAAAGTAGTCTCCCAAGATTGCACTTCAGTAGTAACAAGCGAAATCTCATCTTCAGTAGCACAGTTTAACTTTGCAGTCTGGTGAGTGCTTATTGAATGAGAAACTGATTTTGAACGAGTTCTAAACGTTCGTTCAATAAGCACCTCACTGTTCATCTGCGTTGGCGCTAGTTGGTCCCAAGCGTTCGAAGTTGATGTCTTTACTGCTTCAGGCTCACTTTTAAGATTCTCGCTCACCTCCATTTTTTGATGAAAGAATTTAACTTTACAAGATAACTTAGATAATAAGATATGGCGAAATAAAAAGCTAGTTAAAAAAAGTACATGATCGAAAGTAAGAATTACCAATTATTTTTCTGCGTGAATGCTTATTTATATATTGAAACTGTGTCCAATGTTTATGCTTTCCGGAACCTTAATAATGAAAAATTGCCGGTAACAAAATTCTTACTTAGGTTAATGTTATGTTAGATTTATTTAATTGTAAAACAAGGCTCACGTGATATGCAACGTTTTAACTAAAATGATATATACGATATATATATCGATATATATATCGATATATAGTACAGATATTGGGTCAACTAGTCAAAATTTTGTAATACAAAGATTCAAAATAAAAATACAAACTAACGTTAACGTTAATGCATGCGATGACTATCTTTACATTTATATTATACAT